CATAGGATACAATCCACTACTATTATGCAACGATACTGTGTACATGTAATAGGAGTAGGTAGTGGTTTCCCAGCTATGATGTAATAGACAGATGTGCCTATGATCATAATAATACCTTATATGTACTGTACTTAATACACAATAATAAAGATATGAATATACACACATGTGTATAGTATTATTGGCACAGTATACATGTGCGTCATTCTTTATGTAATAGCTGCTATGTAATAATGAACATTACTTTGCTATCTTAGCTGTCCATTTTCTCATCTCAATACTGCACGTATAGCTAATGACGTCATGTACAGTTATTACTGGATGCTATGACAGTTAGGATGAGTCCGAACTATACAAAAGTAATTAATTGATTTAATATATGGGCTATCGATCAGGCTGAAGCAGGTTTGTCTATAGCTAACAGTGTTTCAATCTTATATGGCGGGTAACTCTGTCAAGCTACCAGCTGCTAACTATAGAGATTAAGTGAAAACATGTTATACTGTGTCAGTGTGTGACTGACTACCAAAAACAACAGAAGAGATCATTAAAGAATTTACCAGTACATTAGGTACACTCATGATATACAAAGTGTATATACTCTCTTATTATCCAGTGCTTGAGTACTGGAATTAGTAAATATTCAATTAACAGTGTGTGATTGTTTGTGACAGGATCATATCCTGTCCTCTAATTAAGAGAAATATTTTAAAATACATTAAAGTCACATCCTCTTTGTGAACTGCTATACATTCAATTAGAGCAGGAGACTACGTTCAAGGACACCCTAAAATAATAAGGACACCTTTATAAACAGGACACTTTTATAATAAGAACACCTTTATAATAAGAACCACCTTTATAATGAGGACACTTTTATAATGAGGACACCTTTTTATAATGATGGTGGTGTACTAATTACGAGAAGGTTTATAAACATCATTTTACTTGGAAACAGATCTATTGTATAAGTTTATGGAGACAATCAAAATACACAAACAAACCGATACCTCCAACCTTTGATGTCCCTATCTAACAATAATAATAATGGTTATACATCAATACAGTAATAATGATTGTAAATGTATTATCTATTATGTGTACATCAGTATATTATGAAATAGGAAGGAAAAGAAGATGAAGGAGATTGTACATTTGATAAGGACACACTGTCGGTATTGGAGCATTTTTCTCCATCCTATACAAATTAATAAAAATACTTGTACAGACTAGCCTCTATATAATGGACACTTTGGGTCAAGGCAGTGTCTCTGTTATACAGAGGTGTCCTTTATGTGGAGGTTATTTTATACAGTAAGGAATGTAATTGGTACACTAGGTGCTGTCTGTTAAATGGAGGTGTACGCTATAGAGAGTGTCCATTAAGAGAGGGCAGGAACTGATGTATAATGTATTGTATTATTATTAATAATAATTAATAAAGTAACAGTGTGTTAGATATACATGTTAAAGTATAAGGACATTAAAGTATTATGATAATTATTAGAGTATTATTATGTACAAGTATATCTATTATTATTATTATTTAAAATATGTTTCTTCTTCGCAATTGTGACAGACTGGCCCTTCGTGAGTATGATACTTATAAGAGGCAAAATGATATTCACAGCAGGTTCCTAAATGCTATAGAAATACATCATGCATGAACATGTATATACATAGCTATCCTTATAGATTCATTCTAAGTTAACTTACAACTATTTCTGAATTTCCTTGGCAGTCTTTGTGAGGGTAACAATAATATGTCCTAGCTTCAGTGACTTGAGCAGTAATCATGAAGAGTACAGCTGCAACAAGGACCATACGCTGGAATGAAGTCATCTTCAGTTTGATAGTAGTAGTATCTTTCTTTATCTCTTTATGGTGTACTGATGATATACTACGAGTTTATTATATAAGGTAGTGTAGTATCAGGTTTCATACAGTACCTGATTCGTGAGGTATCTCCCTTTACCTCCTCACTCCCTACTGTCACATTATACTCAATTACTCATTCATTATTTGTATTACTATTTCCTTATATTCTGTTACTCATTCCTCCATACCCTAACTCACTATACAATAATATAAGATACGACGCAATCATAAGAGGAATAGATGCAGCTAAATCCATTCCTTTATAGGGGGAAATAATCCTTTATTCTCATGCCTAGTAATGTAATAGCACTAATTTAAAGATTGGGATCATTAGCCTTCATTATTCTAAGCATGCAACTGCAAGAAAAAGACTCAAAATAGCAAACAAGAAAATTTGCCTACATTATGACATTTTCTTGCAGTTGAGCAATGAGTCAACTTGAGGCAACAAAGATCAAAGTAACCACTAAATTTCAAGCAACAATGTTGCCCCGTGTATGATAGCCTTTAAAGAATGTGCTGGTACATTAGGTATACTCATAATACATAAAGTGTACATGTTTACTCTCCTATTATATGCTCCACCAATTAATCCAGTACTTGTGTACTGCATTAAAGAATGTACTGTTACATTAGATATACTCATAATCCAGTACTTGTGTAGTACAGTTAATAAATATTCAATTAACGGCGTGTGATTATGTGTTAGGATCATATCCTGTCCTCTAATTAAGAGAAAATATTTTAAAATACGTTGAAGTCACATCCTCTTCACGAACTGCCATGCAGTCAATTAGAGTAGGATACTGTGCTCAAGGACACCCTGAAATAATGATACCTTTATAATGAGGACACCTTTATAATAAGGACACCTTTTTATAATGATGGTGGTGTACTAATTACGAGAAGGTTTATAAACATCATTTTAATTGGAAATAGATCTATTGTGTAAGTTTATGGAGACAATCAAAATACACAAACAAACCGATATCTCCAACCTTTGATGTCCCCATCTAATAATAATAATAATAACAGTAATAATGATTATACATCAATACAGTAATAATGATTATAAATGTACTCTCTATTATGTGTATATCAGTATATAATGAAATAGGAAGGAAAAGAAGATGAAGCAGATTGTACACATGATAAGGACACAGTGTCAGTATCATATACAAATAGAAATAGATCAAGGGACTTAAGACAGGAAAAATACACACATCATTCAATTCTGGGAATTATATAGAACCATCCAATCATAGATCCAATCATAGATACTGTAGATCCCTCACATGTGGTTTTACTAAGGATTTATCACTTCCTTGAGTTCCCTTCCAGTTACTGTACACACTATTGGTAATGTCATTGTATTGCAGTTCCTATTTGTAGCAGCTGTGTATTTCCCTCACTTTTTGTTATTATGACGCAACATTCATTTTCATGAGTATATACTGGGGATAAACTAAACAACACACACTGACACATACTCGCTTTCAATTCAATCGAATACACACATGACATGTATGTACGTGTACATGTATGTATATAAGCTAAAACAAAAACACTGTTGCTCTCTCAGTTTATACTGAAAGCGTAAGCACTGTTGCTAATAAGTATTAGCACCTGTAACACTTAGGACACCTTCATAATGAGGACATTTTGTAATGTCCCAATTGGTACAAGCCTATACAAAATACCTCTGAAATGAGGACACCTCTGTATATATTAAGGACAGGTAGTGTGGGCCCAATGGTGTCCTTAATAAAGAGGCTACACTGTACATGTATTAAGGACAGGTAGTGTGGGCCCAATGGTGTCCTTAATAAAGAGGCTACACTGTACATGTATTAAGGACAGGTAGTGTGGGCTCAATGGTGTCCTTAATAAAGAGGCTACACTGTACATGTATTAAGGACAGGTAGTGTGGGTCCAATGGTGTCCTAAATAAAGAGGCTACACTGTACATGTATTAAGGACAGGCAGGTAGTGCATGGGCCTAATGGTGAAGTACATTACCATTTTACACAGTATTCTATAGGGACAACCATTCATGCCTTTAAAGACATTCCCTGGAGCACAATATGTTTATAAAATGTACCTGGAGTGTGTCTTTATGGTTTTATAATTGATCTGTGTATGGACAACTAGTCTATACAGTATAATCCTTAGTCTACTTGATACAGTTACAAGCTGATACCTTGTGTACTACAAGTGGCCCAAACCACAACAGAGGAAGCATGATGTAGATCAAAGTGAGAATGAATGAGCTAGTATACTCATGAATGTAGCCCTGTTTGTTTGTGTGTGTGTGTGTGAGTGTGTGACTGGTTGTGTGTGTTGAGCAAAGGGAGTGACTCCTAATCTTCATTACAATTAGACTATGTGCCTCCATAATAGGTCCATGTATAGCGTATATTATCAAAATAAATGAATGAGAAATGGAAGGAGGTTTGATTCATCGTCACAGCAGACTCTAATCAAGAGTAGATAGTCATGTAGAGATTGTACTATATCAAAGGAAAATGGCTGCCAGAAATAAAGAAGCAGAAGAGGAACTGTCTACATACGAATCTAATTATAATAGAAATTGAATATTATGCAGCTGCTACTGGAGAGTATACACAATAATGAAGACAGAAAAGAGGCGGTTTACTCGTAGTAAATAAAGAACGAGACAAAAGTAGTCTACGTGGAAGCACTATACAAAGAGGAAAGATACAATTCATGTTCAGTAGATGTACCTTATAATCTACATGTGGACACATAGTACATTAAAAGCACATGTATATACCTGTACCTATGTGTCTATAGCGTATGTTATCTTTGTTAAGATAACACTGTCTGTGACGTACAAGTGTACATGTACATGTATACTATAGACAGTCTGAGAGATAGAAACCTTATCCTAACAGACAATACATATACATATACACAGACCAGACCAATGAATAATTACATATACACTTTATACAGTGTGTTATAGGCACATGGGGCAATGAATATACTGTTAAATGAATATTGATGTTAGCAGCTGCTAGTGTTTCTAGGTAATTGAACAAGAGGGGGAGAAAGAGAGAGAAAGAGGGAGAGAGAGAGGGAGGTAGAGAGAGAGAGGGAGGGAGAGAGAGAGGGAGGTAGAGAGAGAGAGGGAGGGAGAGAGAGAGGGAAAGAGGGAGAGAGAGAGGGAGAGAGAGAGAGAGAGAGAGAGAGGGAGAGAGAGAGAGAGAGAGAGAGAGAGGGAGGAGACATATTTTGGCGGCAGACAGCTGGAGTTAGAATGCAGTTGAGGATTAGGTGAGGCAGTCCTCTGGGGCACAATTAAGGCAACGAAATTAATTTTAAAAATTAATAGAATTAAATAATAAGGTAGGCCGGGGATAAGTACAAGAGGAAAGGGAAAGCAAAAGGAAACGGAATGAGAGAGAGAGAGGGAGAGGAAGAGAGTCATAGTAAATTAGCAGATGAAATAACGAGCTATCTTATAACGCATTCTGTTCTGTGCATGCGTGAACGCACACACACGTTCCCAATCTCAAATTTCCATTTCCTATTTCCTCAGCATACCAAGTGATGGCATTCATACTAGTACAAGGATACATCAATTAGTTGAAGCAGGTTCTGCTGGATCAAAGGATCGACAACTGATATCAGTCAATCAGTAACTAACATGATACAAACATCACTGGGCATCATCGCCCACTATCAAAACTGTGAAAATAACGAATAATTAATAACAACACGGGTTGAAATTATAAGCTAAATGGTCTAGCTATAATCATACCACAGTAGTTGGCTAGTGTGTTATATTGGAGGGAAGTGTGTGTGAATATACAGCTGCAAATATAGTATATGCATCATGTGATGTGTGCAGTGACGTGCTGTGTCTCTTGCATACAATAAATATTGTGTCTAGGAATATCAAATTATCAAAAACAATTCTCATGATAACAGAACACAACAAATGCATGGACAAACAATGTAACGTCATGTAGTATTGATAGTATATAGTACAGGTTGTGTATCAAATGATGGGGAAAGTTTTGTAGTATATAAAGAATTAATTTAAATATTGCAGTATAACTGCTTTTAATGGCTACACTCTCTATAGCGTACACCTCCATTTAACGGACAGCACCTAGTGTACCAATTACATTCCTTACTGTATAAAATAACCTCCACATAAAGGACACCTCTGTATAACAGAGACACTGCCTTGACCCAAAGTCTCCATTCTTAATCAATTTTAAAACAGACAATAATCCTAATAGTTCTTTATGTACATAATTTGATGCAGTAATTTGATTATATCTTGAACAACAACTAGTACTCGACTTTGAATTGAGACACACCAAAAGACATTAACAAAATCAATTAGAAATGATCCAGTCATCACAACTACGGAGACAGTTGACACTTCCCTTCACATACAGATACAGCATACACAGTACAAGTACATGCCCATCATTTACTGCATTGTGGATACAATATTTATAAAACAATGGTGCTCTGCCCGCCAAGTGTTCACCATTATACAGGAAGACTTCCAACGCTGTTTATGATGAGACACATACAGTCAAGAAGGATGTACTCTATACAGTACAGTGTATGCATAGATACTCTTGCACTATTACTATACACTGTATATGTAGACTAGACAAGAGACAGTAGTGCTTACAATGAATGGCCAATTCCTACTGTTGTTTAGACTAAGAGTGGACGTGACAAAAGAGATACATACAAAAGGAAATGGGAAGTTGGTAACCATTTCCCGTACTGTATTAGTCTATACCTGCCAATGGGTACAACTAATAACTGAAACACACACTATGTATGTTACACTGTACTTCACTTTGTCAACACAGTAACCCATCAAGCAGAGCTTTTTTAGCAAAGGAAATTCTATTATTATTTTATTATATTTTGATTTAATTGTCTTTTCTTTTTGAAGCACACTTCATTTCTGTTCACACCAAGTTCTTTCATAGTCCATAATAAAGAGACAAACATCACAAAAGCTACTTACAACTTACAAGCTAATGTCACTAAGTGCTTGTGAAAGGTGCGTACATCGTAGGAGCTTTAGCAAATCAAGTTTTCATTTAATTTATTTTATTCTGTTTGTTTGTCAGTTGGAGATAAAAGAGAGAGAGAGAGGGAGGGGAGGGAGAGAGAGAGTACATCCCATACAATAACACTATAGGTATTATCTTACCACAAGAATCCAGGACTCCTTTGAATCAAAGAGCAAAAACCTTTTGATGTATCAACGGCAGAATGAATATAAGTATAGATAAGATCATAATGGGCACTCTCTATAACGTACACCTCCATTTAACTGACAGCACCTAGTGTACCAATTACATTCCTTACTATATAAAATAACCTCCACATAAAAGACACCTCTGTATAACAGAGACACTGCCTTGGCCCAGTGTCCATTATATAGAGGCGCTAGTATAGTACATTAATACTAATATTACTTACTTTATGGCGGTACTTGTTCAGCTGCAGCATTACATGGCTTTTGTATATGGTATGGTCAGATAATTCGATTTAAAACTAAAGAAATAAAAACAAAAAATGTATCTTTATTGACTGGTGGCTAGACTAGACACTAGTGTGCATAATAACCTTGAGGGCTCAGCCCTTTCCACCATCTGTCTCTTCTCTCTCTCTTTCTCCCTCCCTCTCTGTCTCTCTGTCTCTCTCTCTGTCTCTGTCTCTGTCTCTCTCTCAAACTCTCTCTCTCTCTCTCAAACTCTCTCTCTCTCTCTCTCAATCTTGTACTGACAGATAATACAAATTTAAGAGTACACATGACATGACAAATAAAAGACTAGATACACAAGTATGTGCACCATTAATAGACACAGTGTGGGATGACTGCACCAGACACATGTACTGATGAATAGAGAGTCCTAATAATCCATTCATAGCAGCATATCAGACACATCTACATCCATCACGACATATTTATTATAAAAACTACACTCAATAGACAAACAAGTAAACCCATGTCAACATACTATAGTATATACAGACACATCAACACATCCATAAATGCATTGAAAATATACTTACATCCATATAAGGTTATTATGAATAGATACAGCATGTAAAAATGGTGTAAACACGTCTACAATAAACAGTACCGAACAGTTTGTGTAAACATGTACTGGATACTTTAGGAAACTGGGCAAGATGTGAAGTTCATGAACGATAACAAACAACATAGCAGCATGATGTAATGGAAGAATTTAACAACACGAGTATGAGTGTGTAGGGGAATTTTAACCATAACAATAATAGTATAGTCTCTCTTAATGGACACTCTCTATAGCGTATACCACCCATTTGGCGGACAGCACCTAGTGTACCAATTACAAATGAAATCTTAAAATGCATGTATAGAGGTAGTAGATAATAATAATAATCATATTTTTATGATATCTAATTTTTGTGGCGTGCAGCTAATTTGTGGCTAATTAATATTCATTAGCTACTAATTATTATTCATTACAATGATTAAATTAATAATCAATTATAAACCACAGTCTAGCCTCTGGTATTTAAAAAGGACTTGTTTCCTTTTCTTTTAGAAGGCTACTACTACTACAACTGTCAAACTGAGCTTGCAAGTCGCAGGTTAACTTTATTCCACAAGTACAGGTCACTCCATAATGATGATGCTTAGCATGGTAGAGGTGTCACCTAAACGCAGGTATCAAGTTCGTCAAGTTTCCGAACCAGTGAGGCTGATTACGGGCAGCCATTGGTCAAACTCGCCCTCTCCTCCTGCTAGAAGGCCGCCTAGAGACAACCCAAGGCCTCTCTCCACTCTATACGATGCGAGGACAGCTTCGCCAGAGGTCTTGGAAGATGATAAGCCTGTCCCGCTTGGGCTGACAAGGAAATTGTCGAACTCTGCTCCAGACCTGGTCACTGCAAACGAGGCGGAGAGGCTTAGAGCAGTTTATGTAGCAGGGGGAGAAGGAAAGAGAGGGAACAGATGCACACAGGTCATAGGTGTAGAAGACGACGATGAAGAACTAGGAGAAGGAGTCTACTCAAAATTAAATCATTACAAGATTGGAGGGGTAGCCAGTGAAAGAAGAAAGCTGGAAGAGCTCCGTTGCTCTCCTGACAGTCAGTACAGCAGTTTGAATGTCATACAGGACAGGAGCAGTGATACCTCTCCTATAAATGACTATTCTTACATTGACATTGATATCATTGGTGATAAAACAGATGGTACAACTAGCTCTACTACCAGTCCTAAGTCTTCTCAAGAAATGTCTGGACATCATTACTTTGTCTTAGAGATACCAGAAGATCACGAAGAAGAGCCAAACGTTGAGAAAGAGGTCACAAGGAGAGCAGAGGAGAAAGGAAGAATCCAACCAAAAGCTACCAGCCATGCCAGCAGTGCCAAAACAACAAGAGCTGGTAATCAAATTAATTCGTACGCCGAAGTCAATTTGGGCAAGATCAAACCATCAGCTAAACATCAGAAAAAACTCCAACAGCCAATTAGGAGTCAGGTAGCTGAGTACGAGCGACCATTCAAAGCCACCGAGACTCCGAAAAGGCCAAGAGGCTACAAGCCAATGCCGGTACAAACTAGAATGACAGAGAGGGCTGGTTCACCTCTAGTTCACGATGATAACTTGTACAGTGAAGTTTATCTACCAAGAGAAGAGAAGGTTGTCGCACAGCAGCAACAGCGAAGACCGTTCTCACCTCTTCCTCCTCTCCCAACTTCCTCTCCAGTGAGATCCTTCCCTATGTCACCACGCACCTCACCTCCTAAAATGTTACCCTCTTCCCCACGTCTCTCCCCATCTCCTCCACTAATATCACCTAAATTAGCTGCATCACAGCGATCATCTCCTCTGTCCCCTATATCAAAGAGATCTCCTTTCTCTCCCTCTCATAACAAGTCCCCTACTCCTTCCTTCTCCTATGTCTCTTCACCCAAAACTCCTTCCCCTCAGAACTCATCTCCCTCCCGATCAAGACACTACAGCTCTTCCTCAGCTTCTAGAAGAGATTGTACTGTGGCTAGTTCGACTAATTTCAAAAGAGGAGGATGCTATTCTTCTCAGAAGCTCAGAGGAGAGAGGATATACTGTAATAATGTTGATCACAAAACAATTGGAGATGACTCCACACACTCCAACCATGTCAATATTATAATAACTGAGAATGGTCCCGTACTGTTATCCAATAAACAATCACCATCAGGGACAATGACTGGAGGAAATGCATCACAATGTAGCAGCTCTAAGACTGAAGGAAGCAGTGTTGATTCGCTGGTATTGGAGGAAGGACATTACGAGTTTGATCCTAGCTTTGTTAATAACCTTGTACGGAGATCATGATCTCTGATTTGATTTGATTTCTCTCTCTTGTTACATAATATCAATGCATCGTATCACTAAACACTTATTAACTGATTCACTTAGCCCTTGTATTATTATTATTAATATTATCATTATTAATATTATTATTGTTTATTGTTCTTGTAATAGAATTGTTGTTGTTATTGATTCACACTAAATTGTGCTAACATCATTAAGCTGTGGAGCCGACTTCGACTAAAGCGTTTGAGTCATGGCCATTTAAAAACGAGAAAATTAGAAAACTGCCTTGCACAATAGCCTATGCTTTTCCAATAAAAACACCTCCAAAATCATTCCCAATTTTAAAATACACATATTGATGTCCTTATACGCTATGTAGAAAGTTTGTGTTAATTCTGAAGATTTCCTAATAGAGTATTATTGACTTACGAACATTTTAAAACTTCACTATAGTTTAAAGAGTACTATATAGTTTAGAGAACAAAGGACGATTGTCACAGCTAAGATACTCTAATTAGTCTACCAGTGGCTGTTGCTATAGTGACTGGTTATGGTTATGTAATAAAGGAATGCAACACTCCATATATGGTCAGTGTACAAGTACATGTATAAAGTATGGTTATTGAGCAACTTTAAAAATTCATAAAAAATCTAATTTTGATTGGAATCAGCTCAAACTTTCTACACAATATAAGTACATGTATATGCATCAGAAAATGTAATAAAAATGGAGAATTTGCTCCTTTTCATTTTCGGTGAAACATGACCCGTGACCCTGTACTAAGTACAGTGACTTTGGCCCAATTTTTGAGCTGCTTTAAAAATTCATAAAGGATTTATATTTGATCAGAATCAACTCAAACTTTCTACACAACAGAAAAACATGTATACATAATAGAAAAATCATTAAAATGGTAAATTCTCTCTTTTTCATTTTTGGCGAAATTTGGTTCGTACCCCTGTACTATAGTCTAGTACAATAACTTTGGCCAAATTTTTGAGAACTTTAAAAATTTACAGTAACTTACTATTATCTATGGGCTTTACTGATTTCTGATAAATTGAATCTGAAGGCTTGTTTTCCACTTTCATGACTTTTCCAAAACTCAACCATTATCAGCTGCCATCCAGACACGTGGTTAGAGTATACAGAGATATACTGAAAGAGAGTCTAGTTTATATTTCCGTATACTACAACCACGTGCTCACATGAGGTCTACTGCTGTGTAAAAGATGGCAATAAGAATAATCTTTGATCTGACAATAAAATAGTACAAAAATAGCATAAAATACAAATAGATGATTGTAGTATTAAACATGTGTAGCAGTGAATTTATCAACAACAACAATAATAATAATAATAATAATAATAATAATAATAGTCAGTCAATTTTAGTTGCTTTCCCTCCAAAGTGAAGTTGAAACCTAACTCCCCTCCATGTTATTTCTCTGCTGCAGGAGCTAGTGATGAAAAGAGGTAGAGCCCATAGTTCTCTTAGTATCCAGACAATCAGGACCTTCCATAATGAAGTAACAGGACCATTCTATAATAAAGAAGAATAAAGAAAATATAAATAGATATACTATCATTCCATTAACAGATGCAACTTTTGTGAGCAAAAACTTTCAGAAAAGTTACACATGTCACAAAATCAATACAATTAATTCAGAATATAAATGTACAAAATAAAGGCATATGATTGACTATTCGTAAGATTGGAATCAGTGTTATATGAATCAAAATCAAATCAAGGGATCACTAACCTCAATCACTCGTATCAGTAACAGATCACACAATAACCAGATCAGTGTGTGACATATGAATATAAATATGAATCTATGAAGGCCAGAGACCAGTAGTACGTGTTGATAAGGAGTAGAGTTAATGAGATAATGTATAACACATGAACCAACAAACCCTAGCACAAAGCACTCGGTGAACGGCTCAAATAAAACTGGGAGGGGCATCATAGTGGCTCTTAACCTACCCCACCTGGAGGGAGAGAGAGAGTAGAATGAGATATAGTATATAGTATTTTTCTAGCTAAATATATAGTAATTTATAGGTCATAATTCCGTTCCCATACCTAATAACTCGGTTCTTAAACAGTGACAGGGAACGGGAACCAGGATTCTGAAGAGCAGGCAAAGAGCTAAGAGCCAAAGTCCAACCTCTAAAAATAAAAATAAATAAATAAATAAATAATAATAATAATATTACCCCACCTTGTCCACAGTGCTTTCCCTATGAAATAATCTTCAGCTAGATACTCAGAGAAGACTTTGATCCCTCCCTCCTGTTCAATGGCTGATTTCTTTATCACCCACGACATCCCAGTGGCACAGTTCCGACGAATCAGATTAGCCCATAAATACACTCTTGAGTGCTGGGTGCCAAAATACACCTACATAATTAATTAAAAATACAACAATACTCGTTATGTGTGTGGGTGTAAGATCCAATAGCTACTTTTGGGTAAATTATAATAAATTAGTAGGGCGGGTAATTAAATAATCAATTAATTAAATATAATTTTAACCCTTTACCTTATCAAGAAAATCAGCAAAAGTTTCCATTGAATTCGGAGAAACATACGGCAGCTGAATAAAGAGAGAGAGAGAGAGAGAGAGAGAGAGAGAGAGAGAGAGAGAGAGAGAGAGAGAGAGAGAGAGAGAGAGAGAGAGAGAGAGAGAGAGAGAGAGAGAGAGAGAGAG